AAGACTGCCACAGGCACCAGCAGCTCCACCTTCCCCAGCACAGTAACTGTAGGCAGACGGACCTCGGGTAATTAATGTAATCCACTCGAAGGTCAATGAAAACAAAATACGGGGGGAGACCCAGAAGGTAAAGCACTTACAACATGTGTACCAGGTCCGGGAGAAAAGACCTCGGACCTAGGAGTGGCAGGGACCAGTAGTGTCCTTCACTGAAGCCGACCTTGAGATGGTGCAGCATCCACACAACGATGCCTTGGTAGTATCCCTCTAGGTTGGGGAGTGCCAAGTGAAGCGCATCCTAATTGACCAAGGCAGCTCTTGTGACATCATGTATGTCAAGTGTTACAAGGAGCTTGGCCTTCACGCAAACGATATGGAGCAGTCTAACAGCCTAATGGTCGGGTTCAATGGAACGCTGACGTGGCCATTGGGATCAGCAAGCTTAGAGGTACAGGCTGACACCAAAAAGATAAAAACAGAATTCACCATAATCGGCACACCCCCCCTACAATGTTATCTTGGGAAGGCCATGGTTGCATGCAATGGGGGTTGTTCCCTCAACATTGCATCAGTTATTGCGGTTTCCAACAGAGTATGGGATAGAGGAGGTCAGAGGGGATCAGCTGCAGGCAAAGAACTACTCTATGGCAGCAATGAAATCCACATGCAGCATACGAGAACCAGAGACAGTAGAGATCGAAGACGAGGACGTGGAAGTCCTAGATGACGTCGGCAAAGAGTCAGCCGAGAAGAGTGAAGAAGCCCTAAAGAAAATCCTTGTCCAGCAAGGAGATGAAGAACGCTTCTTCCTTCTCGGCTTGGGCTTAGCCGAAGAAGAGAAAAAAGAACTGGAGGCTTTCTTGAGGGCAAACATTGAGGTGTTTGCCTGGACGCCTTACAAAATGCCTGGCATTGACCCCGAGGTCACTTGCCATAAATTGAACGTAGACAGGTCGGCCAAACTTGTAATCCAACGGGCAAGAAGACCAACGTTGATGCATGTTGAGGCAGTGGAAGAGGAAGTAGACAGACTTCTGGAGGCCAGAGCCATTCGAGAGGTAAATTACCCGACATGGCTATCGAATACAGTGATGGTGAAGAAAAAGAATGGTAAATGGAGGGTCTGCGTGGACTTTACCAGCCTAAACAAGGCCTGTCCCAAAGACAGTTTCCCATTACCCAAGATTGACCAACTGGTGGATGTCACTTCAGGGCATGGAAGGATGAGCTTCCTGGATGCCTACAGGGGGTACCATCAGATAGCCATGTACCTCCTAGATGAGGAGAAGACTATGTTTATCACCCCAAAAGGGTTGTATTGCTACAGAGTGATGCCTTTTGGGTTGAAAAATGCATGAGCAACTTACCAGAGATTGGTAACTGAGATGTTTAGACACCTAATTGGCCGAACAGTGGAGGTATACATCGATGACATGGTCGTGAAACCTAAGGACCATCTGGAAGACTTAAGGGCAGTCTTTAACATCCTAAAAACATATTGGCTCTGACTCAATGCATCAAAATGTGCATTTGGAGTCGGATCTGGTAAGTTCTTGGGATACTTGGTGACCAGAAGGGGCATTGAGGCCAGCCCAGATCAGATCAAGGCCATCCCAGAACTGAAAAGCCCAACATCGGCGAAGCAAGTACAGATGTTGACTGGAAGGGCTGCTGCCCTGAATAGGTTCATAAGCAGAAGTTCTGACAAATGCAAACCCTTCTTCAGTTTAGTGAAGAAGGCCATAGACTTCTTATGGACAGAAGAGTGCAAAGTCGCCTTGGCCGACTTGAAGAAGTACTTGACCACGGCTCCAGTTCTCTCAAATCCAGAACCTGGAGAAGTGCTATTCCTATACTTAGTAGTTTCAGAACATGCGGTAAGTGCAGTGGTAATCCGAGAAGAAAAAGGGGAACAAAGGGCTGTTTACTACGTAAACAAAACCCTGGCTGATGCAGAAACCAGCAGGGAGATCTGACAGGCAAAATAGCCAGATGGGCAGTGGCCTTGGGCTAGTATGACCTGGAATACAGACCCAGAACAACAATAAAAGGCCAAGTTTTGGCCGACTTCGTGGCCGAGTTCACACCAGGAGCCCAGCCGAGGGCAACGGAACAAAGGAAGGAAGAAAAACTCAGGCCCTGCAGCATTTACATCAGCGATTTCTTTCGACTGTTTGTTGATGGGAGTTCAAACCGACAAAGAGCGGGGACAAGAGTAGTACTGGTATCTCCAGATGGACAGATACTAGAACAATCCATTCGTTTGGGGTTCAAGGCCTCAAACAATGAAGCAGAGTATGAAGCATTGATTGCAGGACTGAAACTGACAGTAGCAGTAGAAGCAGATGAGGTGATAGTCTTCTGCGACTCTTAGCTTATAGTCAACCAGACAACACGCGAGTTCGTTGCCCGAGACGAAAGGATATCGGCCTATGTAAAGGAGGTCAGCAGATTGGTGGCCTTATTTTAGAATTGCCGACTACAGCAGGTGAGCCGAGATGATAATAGTCACGCTGATGCCCTGGCCAACCTGGCTAGTGCAATACAACCTGGAAAGGCAAGGACAATAATGGTTGACTACTTGCCTGGTCCAAGCATGGAACCACTGAACACAGAGCGTAAAACAATGTGTGTGGAGATGGGACCAAGTTGGATAGATGCAATAATAGCATTCCTTAAAGACGGGAAGCTGCTCGATGACCGAAAAGAAGCGCACAAGATCAGACTGAAGCCGTCAAGATTCAGTTTGACCCCAGAAGGACACCTTTATAGAAGATCATTTACTAGACCCCTTCTGAGGTGTGTGCATCCTACACAGGTTGAAGATTTTCTATACGAGATACATGAAGGAATATGTGGAAGCCACGCTGGGGGCAGGTCACTTGCCCACAGGGCCATTACTTAAGGGTATTGGTGACCCTATATGCAGAAAGATGTCGAAGCTTATGTGAAGAAGTGTGACCTTTTGATACATCAACCAGCAGCCGACTTAAACCCAGTATCCAGTCCTTGACCATTTGCCCAATGGGGCATGGATCTTGTCGGAAAACTACCTCAAGCAACTGGACAAAGAAAGTACTTACTAGTGGTAACAGATTATTTCACAAAGTGGATAGAAGCTAAACCCCTTGCCAAGATTCGAGACATTGATGTGAAGAACTTCATCTGGAAGAACATCATTACCAGATTTAGGATTCCAAGAGCAATAGTTGCAGACAATGGAACACAATTTGACAGTAAGCTAATCAAAAGCTTCTGTGCAAAGTTTAAAATCAAGAATTACTTTTCGACCCCAAAGTTTTCCTCAAAGCAATGGACAAGCAGAGGTGTCCAACAAAGTTATCTTGGATGGGATAAAGAAGAGGCTGCAAGCAGTAAAGGGAAAGTGGGTAGATGAATTGCCCAGTGTACTTTGGGTATATCAGACTACGCTGAGAAGATTAACGGGGGAATCCCCGTTTGCCATGGCTTATGGCACAGAAGTAGTCATTCCACTGGAGGTTGGCATCCTAGGGATCAGAACCTAGGCAGTGGAAAATGGAACTAATGATGTATTTTTAGCTCGAGATCTGGATCTTCTAGAAGAGAGAAGGGAGAAAGTAGCAATTCAACTAGGGGCATACCAGCAGCAGCTTGCCAAGGCTTATAATAAGAAAGTGAACCCGCGAGAGTTCCAAGTTGGGGACCTCGTCTTGAGAAAGGTCGTCGGCAAGAAGAAGGATCCCAGAGAAGGCAAGCTTGGCCCAAATTGGGAAGGACCCTATAGAATCATCTCGGTCTTGGGCAATGGGGCATATCGACTTGAAGATAATGGAGGCAAAGAGTTGCCAAGGCCTTGGAATACTTGCAATTTGAAATTTTTTTATCATTAGACTTTCTTGTTCTTTGTTATTAGCCGAAGTAATAATAAAGTTTTAGCTTGATTTTTATACTTGTGACTAAGAAGATACTTGACAATGTCTCTGGAACACATGCATAATGAGAACCCAAGTGGAACTTAAGTTCACATTAGGGGGCAAAGAGTTGGGAAATGGTTCCTAGAAAGGTAGAATTTACAAACTAAAATTAGTTTAACGCTTGTTGAAATTTAAGTTTACAAGTTGAAGTTAAACCGATGTCATGTTTAACACTTGTTGAAACTTAAGTTCACAAGTTGAAGTTAAACCGAGGTTAGTTTAACGCTTGTTGAAATTTAAGTTTACAAGTTGAAGTTAAACCAAAGTCATGTTTAACGTTTGTTGAAACTTAAGTTTACAAGTTGAAGTTAAACTAAGGTCATGTTTAACACTTGTTGAAATTTAAATTTACAAGTTGAAGTTAAACTGAGGTCATGTTTAACACTTGATGAAACTTAAGTTTACAAGCTGAAGTTAAACTAAGGTAATACGCTTGTTGAAATTTAAGTTTACAAGTTGAAGTTAAACTGAGGTCATGTTTAACACTTTTTGAAACTTAAGTTTACAAGTTGAAGTTAAACTAAGGTAATACGCTTGTTGAAATTTAAGTTTACAAGTTGAAGTTAAACCGAGGTCATGTTTAAACACTTGTTGAAACTTAAGTTTACAAGTTGAAGTTAAACTAAGGTAATACGCTTGTTGAAATTTAAGTTTACAAGTTGAAGTTAAACCAATGACATGTTTAACACTTGTTGAAATTTTAAATTTACAAGTTGAAACCAATGTTATGACAAAGAAACATTGGTTTAAATACTTGTTGAAATTTACAAGTTAAAAGAAGTACTTATGTACTTGCCGAGGTAAACCGTTGGTGGGTATAACCGAGGTATTTCACCCCAAGAAGATTGCACAGACTAAGGTGAATGTTGAAGACATGCAAATTATAAGTATAGAGTCATGCAATGAAGACAAACATACAAGCATTCAAAAGAGGAAGTTGCATTTATATTCGAAATAAGGCACATCGGCCAGACAAAAAGCTTACATTGTTTCAAAGAACGAAAAAAGTACAAGGTACAGGGAAAAAATGAGAAAATCATCAAACTAAGACTCTTCGGCGTCTTTAGGCGGTTGGGTCTGGAGTTCGGAAGATTGCTGAGAAGACATCTCGGCGGCCCTCTCAGTCGCGAGCTCGACATCGATTTCTTGAAGAGTTTGGTCGAGGCTCTTGTCGGCAATAGGCACGTCTGATGTTGCCTTATCAGGAATAGTGTCTTTGGAGACCTCACCGTCCTCGTCATGAGTCAAGTCTAGGACTTGTTTATTTGGAGTAGGGGACTTGGCCGCAACAGCTTCTTTCGGTTTCCTCACCAAAGCTTCCTCCTCAGACTTAGAATTGTCTTTAGATTGGCTTGGAGTTGGGGGGAATGGAAGGGAGAGGACGTCGACATTCTTGAGGGGGGAGTCCTCGAGGGCATCAAGCTTTTGAGGGCAGCCATCCAACCAAGGGTGAAACCCTTATTGCATGCCTGCTTCACTTGCTTTTTGTAGTCCTCCTTGACGTCGGCCGCCCCCTCAGCATACGCCCTCTCATCAGCAGCCTTGATCTCGGCCTCTTTTGTGGCCAGGGCATGTTGAAGTTCCTTTTGGGCCTCAGCCATCTTGGCCTCGGCCTCTTTCTTTTTGGCCGTGAGGACTATGGCGATGGCCTCTGCAGCATCCGCTTTTTCCTCGGCCTCATCTTCAGCCTTAATGGCTTCCTCGGCCTGGTCTGATAAAGTCTTCATCTTGGCCTCAGTCTTCTTAGCTGCCCTTTGTAGACTAGCAGCCTCCCTAGTCTTGTCGGCCAACTCTTTCCTTGTCTCAAAAGATTGCATTGAGAATGAGTGGGTGTGCTGGATCGCCTAAAGGAAAATGGACAGAACAGAAGTTATTAGAAAATTCTCTATAGTATAAAAAGAAAAAGAAAGAAAAATACCAAGTGTAAAGAACTTACTTGAACAGAATGCTACAGCATTAGAGCAAAATTTTCGTATTCGCTCATCTGAGCGTTACGATTAAGATCTTCGGGCAGAAGCAAGGCGGTAGAGAGGGCAACGCCGACCTCAATGTCATTAGCGTTATCACTAGCCTTAACTGGCTTGTCGTCGATTGTGATTGGAGGGGCCCAGGGGGAATCATGTTTTAATGGCCTCGAGGTGGTCGCAGAGGATGACCTCAACCTTTTTGATTTAGTAGATTCGGATGGTTGGGCCTCGGCGGGCCTCTTCTCGGCAGCAGAAGGGGTCTTCTCGCTCTCGGCCAATTTAGAAATTGGAAAGGTGCCCTCAGTGTCAATTTGAGTCACCGTTGCCTTGGGCTGAGCCTTCTTCAGACGTTTTGGCTTTGACTTTGGTTGAGGCTGGGTTTGTGCTGGTTGAGCGTCAACTGAGTCAGGGATGTCGGCCAAAAGATTTTCAACGACAGCCTTCTTGTGACCCATCTCGGCGACAATTGCAGTTCTACGACGGCGTTGATGTTGAGATGGTGGGATCAGATATGGAGTCGAGGTTGACGGTTGCTCTACTGGATCAGAGGTCAATCCTTGATCTGGCCGAGATGATGAGGTTGTTGGAGGAGTAGTGGCGGACGGAGGAGACTGGCTCTTCTTCTTCTTCGGAACGTCGGGAAGAACCGACTTATAGGTGGGAATTCCGCCTCGAAATGGGTAAATTCAACAACTTCTTCAAGCCCTTGCTAGGGAAAAAGGACTTGCGGAAGTCTTTTGCTGGTTAGGGAAGAGCTGCAAGAAAAACAGACATTAGAACAAATGAAGTATTGAAGACTTTAAAAATAAGAAAGTATAAACACTGGGCTCTTACCATTACCCTCTACAAAAACTGTTCGAGGAAGAGAATAGAGGTGGAGGTCCTCATCTGGAGCAAACTCCCAGTTCCCCGAGATAATGAAGTAATCATCCCCAGCTTCCTTGTTGGAGTCTGGGAGGTCGGCAACAATTTTGTACTCTGTAGACCTCGGTTTGAGATAGTAAATATAGCCTTTCTCTAATTTGGGGCCATACATGGTGTAACAGTATTGAATGTCGGCTAAGGTAACCCTAGCATTCTCTTGTTTGGCTAAGGCTATTATACCATTGATGACTCGGTAGGAATTGATGGAGAGCTGCATTGGGTTCAATTTATAGTAATGGAGTATCTCACGGAAGAGGATGTCGAGTGGAAGCCTAAGTCCACACTCAATAAAAGGTACAACGGGAAAGGGCATAGAATCAATTGTGGGCATAATGAAGTCATCCTTCCCAGCCAACCTCAGATGGACGTCGACGGGGATGGAAAACTCCTGCCTAAAATATCCCAACTTGGTTGGGGTATCTACCCGATGTTTCCACATACCCATGACGTCGGCTTAATTGGAGGAGTTGGATTTCAGAAAGAAGTGTTTTGGACGGGTTTGATGGACCTCAGCTAAAACCTAAAATTGTACTATGATAAGAGTTTGTATGGATCTAAAGGGAATTCGTGTCTGTTTTTCCTAAAGTTCGTGAGTTCTATAGACAAAATCCCAATCCTAAGTGTAGGCAAGTGAAGATTGAAAGCAAGAATTTGGAAAAAAAACATGGCAAATAGAAACAAGAATGCGATTCAGAGTCAAGAACAGTGATGAATCATCAAGAATACAGTGGTAAATCTTGTGCAGGTGTGTGAAGCCAAGAACAGTGGCAAAAATCAGCAGATATGTAAGCAATGTGAGTATTCAAGAAATGATTGGGCAAAAAATAGAATCACGAAGTAAACATGCTCAAACACATGGTGGAAATCGAAGTACAGATTAAACAATCAAAAGACATGAGCAAGTTCGCAAATATGACAAAGTTCGAAGTAAATCAAGAACTGAAACCAGGAGGAACAGTGACTTACAAGGGAAGATTAGGGTCGTCGAGATCAGACGGTGGCAACAAACCGGAGAAGTGCAGCAAAAATCCTCGCCGGAGGGAGAGAGCGAAGCTAGTTGCAGAAAGCCTCGTGAGAGCGACAATGGCAGATTTGGGAAAAAAAGTTAGAGAGAGAAAAAGCTTCAGAAATGGTGGTGTAAAGTGAAAAGACGGAGAGAGGAAGGAAGTTTTGTTGAAACACAAAAACGGCAGCAAAAAGGCAATTAATGTGCCTAAAACGACGTATGTGTCAGACGGCGCACGCAAGAGCAATTCGACTTAGTGGCGCGTGTCAGGTACGGCCCAAAGAGAGAGAGAAACGCGTGGCAAGAATGGTTGAGTAGTCATGCGTGATAGCTCATACGCGTGTTGAAGCTCTTAGAATTCTCGATTTAACGGAGTATAACCTCAGCTTGGAGGATGATCTCAGCTGAGAAACTTGAACAAACTTGGTTAATGATTTTGAGGCATTGATGAAAGCAGACTGTAAGTTTTTGGTTATATTGAGCCGACGTATTATGACCTCGGTAATGAACAAATGGAGTGATCTTAGCCGTCGTGCTAAATGGAAGAAACAATATAGGTTCCATCACCTCAGGATGCCAAGGTAATAGAACCTAGGGGGTAGTTGTGGAGACATAATTTTTGAGTGACAACACGTGGCCGAGGTGTCACCGAAGTGCCAGCCGGGGTGCCACGTGTCCTGGTCATAATGCCCAGGTGATCTCGAATAGGCCGAGGTTATCTGCGAGAATATCAGAATCCGGGATAAGCGGATAAGGGACAAAAGTCCTAGAATGGGAGAAGACTTCAGTTTGGATAAAGATAAGACTCTTAAAGAGTTTATCCCAATCCTACTGGGAGTCCAATATTAGCAATAATCCTAAGTCCAATAGGGCTAGGCTTCTATTGGGACTAGGATTGTATTGGCTATAAAAGAGAGGCACCCCCATGGGTCTAAAGAACGCAATTTATATTCTGAATAGTAAGTTAAGCTCTTTTGCTATCTTTGAGAGATAACTGACTTAATTATCGGAGTGCCCCGGGTGGACGAACCACCGCCAGAATCTCTTCTTTCTGTTGCAGGTTGTTCGGGACTAATCTATTCTGCCAGTGCTCTTTAGCTTAGTACTAATTTGGCAGTGTGGTCGAAAATTGACACACGCATTATTTATAACTAGTGTATCATGGACAATATAAAAAATATAGATATAAGTCTTAAAATAAATTATATAATGATAAATTATTTTTTTATAGAAAATTTGATTAAAAATTCAATATAATTGTAATACTATGCCATCATTAGTATGTGATATCACTACCTAATAGTAAATAAGCACATAGATAATGAACCTCACATATCAAATATAACTAACAATCTAATAAATTTCATATATTTATAGTGGGATTACTTATACTTGCATATCAATAATAATGATATCACCGTTACATTCAAAATTTTTCATAAATTTTTCATAGATAATATGGTTTGTAATAGTCTCTTTATTTTCAATCAAAACATCCATTATTGTTCTCATAATTTTTAAAATGTCATTGACATTTCACTCTGATAATATTTTTATAATTTTTTATTTAAAATATTTTCCTTATATTCGCAAAAACAAAAAAATTCCAAAATCCAGGGGCACGTGACCCCTTGGGTTCTCACTTCCCTCCACCACTGAATGAGACCTCTTCAAATTATTCAGTGTGTTTGGTTTGAGTTTTTTGGATTAAGTTTTTTAAAAACTGAGTTTTTTGTTTTTCATATTCTTTTATTTTTAGTGAATATTTTTTAAATTTTAAACATTTTTTTTTTACTTTTTTAGATGCACCTTAGTTAGATGTATCTAAAAAGTAAAAAATGTGTGAAAAAATATTTTTAAAAATTAATAAATACATAAAAATATAAAAAAATGTACTGAATTCTTGTATTTTTTTTGTGTTTTTGGTATTTAGTGAATTTTTAAAAGATTTTTTTTACAATTTTTTTTTTACTTTTTAGGTGTATTTATGTTAGGTGTGTCTAAAAAGTAAAAAATTGCTTAAAATATTAAAAAAATTCAGTAAAAACAAAAAAACACGAAAAATAAGAAAGTAGAATTTTCTGAAAAGTATTTTCTGAAAAATGAAAATAAGCATTATTTTTTTCTTCAACCAACTGCCTAAAATAATTATATATTGTTATTTTATTCTAAACCAAATAATACATCACTCTTTCTATCCAATCATTTATTGAATCTATTATCTCATGATATAATTTATCCCCATAATCTTATCATTTATCAATCTTTTATCTAATTTCATAGTACAATTTATCTAGCCCTACAAAATAATAATAATAATAATAATAATAATAATAGTAATAATAATAATAATAATAATAATGTTTGGTTATTATTGTATGTAACTTAGCTGCAATCCACCGAATAATTTCTTACGTTTGGCCAACTCCTGGGTCGTCTTCTTCGGCAAAATATGTGATGTTTTGGGCAAATTTCAACTGGCTTGTACGACTTTGTTTTAACTCCGATTTTGACGTGGTTTGTTGCGTTGGACTCGTCTCAATGAGTACTTCACACTGATATGCTCAAAAATTAGATTGTTACAATCGCAAAAATTTCATCGTAACAAGACACCTTCAATCATCGTGACAAATTTGAAGCCGAGATGTTAAAGTGATGCCGAGATAGTAGTGTCGAGCAATGGTGTGATATTTTCGAGAATTAAATCATGAGATTCAAGGTGGTAGCGACTCGGCATTACCGTGACACTGCCGAATTATTTTGTCGAGTAATGATGTTCGTAGAATAATGAATAATGACGTCAAATTGTAGAGTTGGGCAATATTGTGTAGTTGGCTCCCGAGAATGTCCAATGCTGTGCAGTGTATGGGCTGCCGAGTAGTCTTGTGGCCGAATAATGCAAAATAATGTTAGTCGGTTAAAAATCTTTTGGGTGAGCGTAATGGGTAGCTTGGGTGAGCATAATGATGCCGAGAAGGGTGGAAGAGCTACTGAGTAGCCTTGTTGGATTGCCGATCTTAGTAGTAGTTTGCCGAGTAGTAGCTTGGCTTGGCCAAGATGGTTAATTTTGATGCCGAACTAAACCGCTGAGCAATGAAGCTGAGATGCTGGTGCTGTACTAAGGCGCAGTGCCGAGCTTTGTGGTGTTGGTCTCTATGAATGAAGTGCCGAACTGTAGACACCCCATTTTTGACCGACCTCAAGACTCAGACGTCACCGATTGAGCGCTTGGTGATGTTGCATGTTGTGCTCGTTCTAAGGTTTTAGAGTTTCGGCTGTGAGCCATGCCTCCGGACTTCGGGGCTCTTGCGTGCTTTGCCTCGGTTCGCGAACCAGGCTCGATTTTCTCTGTTTCTCTTCCAGAAGGGAGAGAGAGGTCTCGTAGATCATCTCTCACTGACCGTAGGCTACGTTTCGTGGTCGTAGGCCATTTTGCCCGTTTGGAGTCTGGTTTCCGATTTTTCGGAGCCGTTGGCCGTGTGCCTCGGTTCGGGACCGCTTAACCACCTCCGTTTGCTCCGGTTT